TGCGCTTTCCTTCTTTGTGTTGCTGATGTTTGATTTCCAGGTCTTTGAGCGCCTGATCCGCCGCGACCAACTGTTGATTGGCTTGTTGTAGTTGTTCCTCGAGTTGCTGCTTTTCTTGTTGGAGTTGCTGTTTCTCTTGTTGGAGTTGCTGTTTCTCTTGTTGGAGGAGGAGGAGGACTTGTGGTGGTGTCGGCTGATGATGTGCCTGGTGGAGATCGGCCTGTTCTTTGGACGGTAACTTCAAGGTCGCGGTCCTCCAGGGTGTTGGACTGGGAACACCGAATAGTTTGGGAATACCGGTAGGAACTTGGGAGGAGGAGGAGGAGTCCATGGAAAGAGTCTTCTTGCAACTATTGGTTTGACTGTGTTTGCTAGTATCACCCAACAGGAGGTTCGGAAAGCGTTTCTGATGCAGACTACAATCTCCTCCTCCTAGTTGTTGCAATACCGATGCTTGTTGTTGTTGTTGTTCTTGGTTGTTGGTGTTGTTGGTAACCTTGCATACCTTCAGTTTCAAGTCTCCCACGGACATGCCACGAAATTCTCGCATGACTTGCTTGAGCTGTTGAGCCACTTGGTCGATATCGGCTTCTTGAAACACGTGTCGAAGATCGTCGTCTTGTTGTTCTTTGGTTTCTTCTTCTTTTTGCTCTTGTTGTTCTGGATTTGGATTTGGTGTCTGCAGAGACAACAAATGGCAATAGATACCCGCCAAGGCAGTGGCCGCCGAAAGACTGGGTCCTTCACCATCGAGGAGATGACTGCTGCAGCTCGACACATCGTCTTCTTCTACAGAGCTAATGGGAGACATGCCAGTACTGGCCGACGGAGTTTCGGAAAGTTCATTCAATAGTGTCGCCATCTTATTTTATCGTCGAGAGTAATGGTGCATGATACGGTAGCCAACTAACGCGAGGATGGGGGCTAGCTAGGTAGCGTACCTCTATGCTGATCTCAATACAATGGTATGTCTACTACTAGTAGTAAGACAAGAGATACCGTACGGTGGAGTCTCTTATGGTGGGATGTGGTGGCACTGTTGGAAAGATACAGCATAAGGCTTCAAGGCTTTTGTCTCCAAAAACAAACAACGGCGAACAAACGGTGACAACACCAAAACCAACGACCAGGCTTCGACAAAAATAGCTTGGATCCTTCGCGGATTTAAGATATATTCACGATGCCAAGCGTTGACGTTCTCCCGAAATATGCCGACATTCCCATGGGCAAATAAATGGATGCTAAAGAAGTGAAGGCATCAGAGGCAAAAGTCTCTACTGGTACCGGTACTAGCTAGCTAGCCTGAGATCACCTAAAGTATAATATTTATTCGAAGGCGAGATGGTAGTGGCTTGCGCTGTCTCCTTTGCAGGACAGATTGATATGGAACTAAAACTCTTGGCTGCTCCAAGAAAAAATGGAGCTGGACCTAGCTAGCCACTCATCGTCCAACATTGGTAAAAACTCCAAGACATGCCCGGGATCTGCAACCACGCATGATGTGATCTAGCTAGACAGCAGTACATGGACCAACACGCACCACTTCAAGGTAAATTGTCCCCAGTGCCAAACCGTGGATCAACACTAGGCCCCCTGGTTACTCCCTTCGACCAACGCTAGCTAGCTAGATCAACTCAAATACTGTACAACAAGTTCCTGCTCCTCTACTAGAGTAGCGATACCGTTACTTCAGCACTGGAACCGAGCTGCCAGAGCTTCCAACTCTTGTCCCCTCTCTCGTCCTGAGACAGCTGAAAGGGTTTCAAAGCCTCGGTTTTCAAACAGCCTTGCAGCTATAATGACCAAGTCGACAATGGAGACTTAACAGTATGACTTTCTTCGACGAATGGTAGATTTAATGGACAAATCTGTCAAAATGTGATCGATGCCGCCAAAAAGAGACACCAAGAGAGGACAAACACAAAAGCAAGAACACTCTCCCATCCTTAGGAACGGTCCTTGCAACCCTGCCTTTGTTCCATGAAACAATAAATAGACGACTCGACTGCTTATCTCTTCCGCTCTGGAAAGCAGCTCTGCTTGATCATCATCCAGATTCGATTCCATTCGATTCATTCAACCAAGAGACAGACGACAATCGACCATGGCGACGGGACTACAAGACTTTGCGGAAGATCCGAGTCTCCCCTGGGGAGCCGCTCTGATGCCAGACTGGTGGGGTGAAGTGACGCCCCATCATGTCTTGGATTTCGATGCGGTGGAGATGGAGTATCGTCGGGAAAAGGCTCGCATTGCCGCCCTGGAGGATCGTTTTGGAGCCCTAAGTCCAGAACACGGGAGTGAAGGAGGCGGATCCTTGTCGGGTGAAGGGCCGTATGCGTTACCAGGATTCCAAGCCAGTGATGGCATTGTGGATGCTAGTTTTTGTACGGGTGAAACGGGCCAACCTCGATGGCATATAACTTCGGAAGGCTACTTTTACGTGATTGATGAACCAGATGTGCGCTATACAGCCGCCCAAATGGTCGAATCGGGATATCTACCACCGGAAATGGAAGATCAGTTTGAGCCGGGGTGGGATCGAGCTCGGGCTTTGAGCAGTCCCGTCGACAACCGCATGTACGCTCGATCGGAACGGAATGCCTGGGAAAAACCAAACTGGGCCAAGAAAAAATTACGCCATACAGAGTCGGGTACGGCGATTCGACATGGTCCTTTTGACTTGGAGGGTCATGGCGCCATCAAACGACGATCTACAGCGAGTGAAGAAGAACAACGACAGGCAGCAACATCATCCACTGCGTCGCCGACAGAAGTAGATCCGTCTATTTTGGCACCTTCCGAAGAAAAGACATCCAATGCCTGGGAAAGGAAAGGAGGTGATGATATACCGGAATGGAAACGGCATCGAGATGCAATGCTGAAGAACAAAGAATTACACGAAGGCGCTCAAGGTGAGGAAGCGGCGCCTTCATCACCGCCGAAAGTCAATAGGGAATTGGAAGTACCCAAGCAAGAACCAGAGAAAAAAGATGTGCCAGAAAGTCCAACAACCAACAAGCCTGCGTGGAATAGACAATCCACAGCTACCACTGCTTCGGCTCCGGAACATCCCCCGCCAAGATCACCAGTTCCTGCCTGGAAGAGGAAATCTGAAATGATCAATTCTTCTGCGGTTCCAGCCTGGCAAAAATCTCCTGTGGTCACGAAGGGCAAGATACCTTGGAACAAGAAGCAACATTCGGAAGACAAGAAACCCGACGACACGGCAACATCACCTGTATCTGCCTGGAAAGAGAAGTCAGTAACCGAAGAATCGACTTCCGCCAAGGTGCCACCTTGGCAACAAAAGAAACAAGAGTCATCGTCTACATCCGTTCCACCGTGGAAGAAATCACCGGCACCCGTCAAGAATGAAACAGTCCAGCGACCAGCACCTGTTGTTCCTGCCTGGAAAAAGAAGGCAGAAGAGAAAGAAAAGGAGGAAACCAAGCCAGTGGTAGTGGTAGCAACTGCTCCTGCACCTCCTCCGAAACCCCCAACACCTCCTCCAAAACCACCAACGCCTCCTCCAAAACCACCGACACCTCCTCCAAAGCCGCCAACGCCTCCTCCGAAAACACCAACGCCTCCTCCAGAGACATCGGAAGAGGAATCGGAAGAGGAATCGTCTTCAGAAGAAGAGCCACCTAAACCGGATCCAGAGGCGCAGAAGCTCGTCAGCCAAGGGTTGGTTTTGAAACTCATTGGGCTGCCGGATGATTCTGCCCGGGCCAAGGAATTGAGAAATACCATCTATCCATCCACGGACAAGGACAAACTATTGGTCAAACCCGACGAGCTACTATTGGCCATTGCTCATCATGCTCAGAGCTGGAAGGGACAACCAGACAGCAAGGAAAAGATTGGCAGCTTGCGGCAAGTGGCTATTATTGCACGATTGGTCATTATGAAACTGTATGGATCCAAGAGTCCAGAGTTGAAACAATTTGAGGATGGGTTGCGGCCCGCGTTTGCATAAGGAAGCCACAAAAGTCACCAGGGAGAATTTCACTATTGTTTGGTTGTGGTGGATGTAAGAGAATTAGTGCCATGCTGTAGATGCCTTGCGTTGACAGAACAACAGAGCCTACTGGTGCATTTTAGCCTGCTGAACTACTCCACAAGTGAGGTGTCAGCCGTAGCAATCCAAATTGTATGTTATGCTTGTGATCACCATGAAAACGTTCAAGATGGTCATCCAACATGGAACTGTGTGGAGCAGCGACGACATCGCAAAGCAAGCCCACAAATTGTGGCAAGGTTGTTTTGTCTGACATGGCTTTTCCCCTCCTTCCGAACCTGTTGAGTGCCACCAAGAAGTCAATCTTGCCAAGCTCCTTTGGAATTTCAACATCATCGTCGTCCTCGTCATCATCATCAGAGGAATACTTTGTGTGGACACAACTCAACGTGGTACTGTGATTTTCAATGTGGTCAGCCACGCAACCCAGAAGAGCCCCGTAATTGTTTTCGTTGCACTTCGTGATATCAAGCTCTTGCAGTAGAGTGTTGTTTCTGAGAGTTGCTGTGAGTGAATCCAGATCAATTACAGTGTTTTCAAGGGTTAACTTGTAAAGCTTTCCTTGATAACCTTCTTTTCCAATAGACGCCATCAGTGGCTCACTGACATCATATAGGTCTCCTTCCAAAGAAATGTGGCCCAAACACAATTCTCTGAGATTGGGAATACCATCTAGCTTTCTTATCATCTGGTTGCACCATGTGTCCCTCAAATCATTTCGCAGTTGTAGGTGTTGTATATTGCAATCATTGACGTCAAAGGCAAAGTAATGTCCCACAGCATCGGCAATGTCAATGGTAATGCTTTCAAGCTTAAGCTTGGGTACTCTACAGTTTGACATGAACTCAGCAAGGGACCGTGAGTTGGATAGACAAAAGCGGCGAAGTGTTGCATCCAAAATGCTTGTGTTGGCGACAAGTGACGCCAGGACCGCAGCAAGACAATCATCACCAGGCGGAAACACTTCTTCAGCAACATAACCGGCATTAAAATCAGCGTTTTCAATTGTGTTGTTTCCAGTGAGCATATTTTGTAGGGACTCTCTTGCCAAGTTGTTTTCCTCGGTGAAAAGGAGCAAGGGTAGTTCGATGGTTAGATGTCCAATGGTCTCATTGGAACAAATTGCACCCATGAGGTGAGCGAACCCCTGGTTGTCCCAGTCTCCTGGCTCACAGACAAATGAAGAGACCCTACTGAGTACCATTGCCAAAGCTTCAGCTTGTGGGAGGCCAATGGTCAAAAAACTGTCACTGATTACCAACCACCTTCCATCTTCCTCCTCCGAATTTCCAATATCCACATATGCCTGAAACAAAAAGTGCAAAATGGATGTACCAAAGTCACCCCGTAACACCTGATCCATCATATAATTCCAACGTCCACAGGTATTTTCCAAGAGGGCTGATGCATTGATGCCCAATAGCAGCTTGAGGATTTGAATCTTTTCTTCTTCCGTCCTACGAACTGACAAATCATCCCTCAGCACAATTTCCAGTGGGGTACAATACATACGGCCCATGAAACGCTGTCTACAGGCATTGACTTTGACCAGGTACTCCATTACGTCTGGCTGGCACCCAAAGCGGCAAGCATCGCAGAGTGCCTCCAAACACATCTCATTATTGACGCCAGGATAACCACGCCGCTCAAGGATTCTCTGAATTGTCTCCAGATCTTCTCTTGCCTCCATAAAAAAGGAAATCGGCAGCCTTACAAGATCTGAATTTCCGATTAAAAAGCGATAACTGAGCACATCAGGATTGGTCTCCAACAAGATATGCAACACCTTTTCCCGAGGAAACTCATCCGAAAGAGGAGGACCACCAATTTGGTCTGTAAAGAAGGCCTCAAAAATCTCTTCCAAAATATACATGGCTTCGGAGTTACTCATGAGTTCCAAGGATTCATCTGACGAAGAGTCGCTATCAGCATCAATGGCAGCTTCTCCATCGACCACATCGGGCTCCCGTTGTTCGATCATCATTGTTTGGGTTTGTGTGTTTTTGGGGCGTCCTTCCTTCAGGATTCCGCATTTCCTTGAACAGTATGGTACCGGTACTTGTACCAGTAGTTGTTTACCCTGCTTTGCTGTTTTATGACGAAATACTCACCTGAGACCCAACCCAAGAACGACATCTAGCTACGATGTAGTACCGGTAGCAAGGTGGATGCCAACACGAATAGATCCATCCATTCATCACAATCCTTGGTGTGAACATCTAAATTGAGGGAATGTAAAAGTGGCCCATGGCCGGTGCTTGTGTCTGTATTGTACTGTATGTAGCCAGCTAAATGTCTAAAGGTATCTATACGTAGTATGTTAGAACGTAAACAGATCGTACCCGTCCAATCTGATTCCGTGAGCAGCCCAGTAAACTGCAATGGCCAGCCAAGCGTAAAGCGATGGTCTTGTGTATACAATCGCTTCTGCTGTTGCATCGGTATTGTCCGCGTTGTCGTCTTTTGTCTCGTCCGTCTTTTTGCCGTCTCCCACACTGCTCTTATTCTTATTTTGGTTGTTGTTGCTATTGTCGTCCTCCTCCGCTTGGAACAAGCCAGTGAGGGCGGCCCACAGTTTATCCAACATGCCGGGATTTTGTTCTCTGCGTTTTCGTTCTTCTTCCACGTCGGCAAGTGCCTTTTGAAAAGCCAGTTCCCCTCCGATGGCGGCCGCCACGGCCAACAGAATCTCCAGGGTTCCGTATTTTCGCCAATACAACGTCGACACCAGGATGGCGGATATACATCCCGCCATACCCAACCGAGGACGGTCTTGTGGCGTCAAATCAAAGGCTCGCATCATGACATGTCCAATGGAGAGCCAGAGGGCAAAATTGCCACACCAACACATCAAAAAGGACCCCAGTGGCATGAGCATCCACACCAGCGCCACCAATTTGAGGAATCTCGCACGTTTCAGTCGCAATAGAGTGCCCAATATCCACACAATGGATTGGGCCTGTTGTAAAATTCGTTGGGCGTAGACATGTGCCATGAGAAAGACTTCATTATTGTCATTTTCGTTGTCTTGGTCGTTGTGTACCGCCTGATCGATTTTCTGATTGTGTTTTTCATTTTGAATGGATTCTTTGAGTGCCTGCAATTGTGGAAAATCGTCTTCAAATTCAAAGGTAATGTAATAACTGAGTCCACACAGCAGAGCACACAGGCACAATCGGACCTGCCATTGTCCGTAGATTCGTTGAATTTCGGTCTTGTGCGGATTGTAGTGAACGACGGTCACGTAGTGGATCAGTTCGACGACTCGAATGCGCAATTCGCCCAAAAAGGACATCCAGAGAAACAACACAAGGAGACTGCAGGGCAAGCGAAAGCCTCCAAATATCGCGGCAGCACATTGGTCGGTCGCCTTGTCGAGAATATCCAACCATAGGACACCCGGGATGATGCGAAAGAGAAACATGGTGGCTACTGTCTACTGGCTAGCTAGCTAGATAGATCAGAATACATGGACAACCTGCCGAAGCAATCGAGTTGAGGGTGGAGAACAGCAATGTCAGCGCGCAGCTTCTTTCGCTGGAAGTTGAGCACAGGAAAGGCAAAAGATCCTCTGAAGGACACGTCACCCAAAAAGGTAATTTTCTTTTTCAGTCATGGATACCGTACACTTTGTACATGTATCATGTATGTACAAGAGCTCTACAACTGGCCAAATGATTCGATTCAAACTCGTTGTGGCTCCTGGCGAAGCCTCAATGTTGCTTTTTCAGTCATGGATACTAGTAAGTAGTCTCATTTTTTCTATTTTTGCGAAAAAGGACAGAGAACCGCGCTAAGAATGAAGTCAGTGCAACACTTCAACATTCTGCAGTCCGAGGAAAGGACGGCCTGTTCCTCGCTTGTGGCTACTGCTGGCTACCTAGACCAGGTCCTACCGGCAGCTAGAACCTCACGATGACGATGGAGCCGATGCTTGTTGCTGCTCTCTTATTGTGCTTATTACTAGGCGTTGCCAATGGTCAAGGTTACAATTGCGAACACTATGTAGTCCATGACTACGGCAGCGGGACCGATCTGGACGAAGCGGTGTCGTTGCCAGAATTCGTGTTGAACGACTTTATTGGATGGATCGCGTGTCGTCCAGATTATACGTACGACGGTGCCACGGGATCCTTTGCCATGTACTTGAAGCTCGGTGTCGAAAATGGTTTGGCATCGGAAAGCAATCATGATGTTGGCATGGTCAATGACAATCCGGCATTGATTGTCACCACAGAACGCTTTGAACAAGAACGGAATATCAATGGGATTTCGTACGCCCTCATCATGCCACAATACACCGATTTGTCCGTCACTTGCTACTGTGATCGAGCCATACGGCCACCTACCATTTGTTTTGCTCCAGATTCCATGGTACAGCGCAAACAACAACAAGGTCCCATGCCCATCCAGAACCTCGAGATTGGAGATTGGATTTTAACCGATACTCACCTCTATGAACCAGTGTACGGTTTTGCTCACCGAGATAGAAATTTGATCGCCCCGTTTCTAAACATTCACACTAAAATAGTCAACCACGACGACAAGAACGACAAGAACACTACATCCAACAAACGCCCCACCAACGACACGCTCTATCATCGTGACTACCACTCCTTGGAACAAGATGGCGATGATACACATCTCAAGATTTCCCATGAGCATTTGCTCTTGTACGCCAATGGCAGTTACATTGCAGCCAAACATGTGGAGGTGGGGGATAAATTGGCGGGTGTGGGAAACAGCATCCGAAGGGTCCTGCGTATTACCGCCACACAGGCACAAGGTGTCTTTGCTCCATTGACGCCATCGGGAATGTTGGTGGTGGATGGTGTCAAAGTATCGTGCTACGTATCGTTGCAAGAGGATGGCCATTCCGAGTTTCTCGAGCTACAGTTGCCTTGGAGCAACATTGTTATGCGGCTTTCGCGCCACACTGTAGTCCACATCTTGTTGAGTCCGATCCGGTTGCTCTGCTCTCTGGTCTCCTCGCAAAACTGCGAGGACGAAAGCAAGCACAACAACGACAATCACTTTGAGGGTGACGCGAGCAGCTCTGACCATGGACTCCCTTGGTTTGTGCGGATCGGGTTGTCCCTCTTTGCCTATTTTGACAAGCAGAGCATTGTCTTCGTGCGCTGGTTTCTGTTCCTGGCATATATTGCCATTTGTGGGTCCTGCTGGGTGCTGGAGATAACCCTGAAGTACATTGCGGAGCTGCCGACAGCGAGAGGCGTTGGCGCGGCTGCCGTTGTGACGGGTATTGCCACCAGCTACTATGCATATGTGGCAAACAGACAAAAGATTGAAAGCAACACGATCCACAATAACTGGATCAATTGCACATACATCTAATTCGGTAAGCATGAAAGTTAGTGGAAAGGCAATCGACACTCTGGTGTTCAAGGCGTCACATCTTGTGCAGCCCAAGTTCAACCACACCAGGCCCCACGACCCCACGAGGCATCTGCCCAAGAACAAAGGAAGTCCCAGTCAACGCATGCGATGATAGAGTGATTGAATCATTCGGTAAGAATGTGGTTTTCCGTTAGCTTAATCGGTCCTAGCTAGTGATTTGCTTCGCTCATGAGAGGCACAGTGAGCGCTGCTGGGGACGAGGTGCGGGGATCCTGCCAAACCACATATGGAAGAGCTTATGGAAGCAATGACGATTCAAGCGTCCGACGCAAACCATTCATACAGGCGGTGCGGGATTGTTGTACCGGTAGGTCGCTCGGAAGCATAGGCGTGACCGGAACGATCTCTTTTCGTCGGGAGGATATTTTGGTATCATGGAGTTTTTGATGCATGCCGAACTGATCAAGCCCCCTTCCGATGTATGAAGCAATACCAGCACCCCACCATCAGCCTTCAGCCTAGTTCCCGTCTGGTGCGGGTTGTCTCCAATGAAGAAAGGATGAGCAAGTCAACGTATCGGGGGACGGAGAAGCTCGACTGGGGCTGGACTGGGCGGCTGTGTGCTCCCCTTTGAAGTGAACACGTTTGCCACAACAACCCACCAATTCTTGATGGGGACGATGGCTTCGAGGGCACAACGACTGATGACCGGCACCAGTGGACATGCAGCAACGTGGGCTGCTCGAGCTGGAAGGGGAGAAAGTCGAGGCGTGGATCCACTCCGAGGAAAATGTGAAGAGAAGCAAAAGATTACAGCCCTCCGTGCAGGGACTCGGATGAGTGTTCTTTGGTACGTCTTTTTTAAGTCTGCTGATCAAAAGATCCAGTAACACCAAAGTTTTCAGCGAGTGTGAAATTGATTAATAGCACGTCCCACGACAAAGACGCAAGTCTGATGAGAAACTCGGAGTTTTAAGCCCTCCGAACACTTCTGAACAGAATTGTTTAATGATGATCTTGGATGAAGGGAAGACTTCTCCAATTTGATTCGAATGAGTCCACACTGTGTCTAGTTTTGTACGGTTTGGGTTGCCAAATTGATTATGCCGAAGCTTCTTACAGACCGTCAAAGTTGGAGTTCACGGTTCCATGATACTTTTCGGGCTCTTCGAAATTCGAGACCTGTTTCTCCGTCCAAGCGTCCAAGAAGAGAAAAGAAGAGAGCCCTACCGTACTACGTACTAGCTAGTAGAGCTGCCCTACTCGAGTGGGACGGTACTGGAACCTGGTACAAAAAATACATCGTACATCACTCGAGCACAAAGTTGGGGTGAGCTTTCCTCTGTTTCGCCGTTTTGCCAACCTGCGAAAAAGCACACAAATCTATTGGCAATCGCACTGTGAATCGAATGAGAAAGCATCTCGCTGCTCGACAACACACCACTATTCTAGCTAGACGGGAAACCACCGTAACTGGCAGCATCTCATATCCAACACATCAGGCAAAGCGAAGCGAACCAAAGAGAACAAACAGCGGTGCTTTCAAGCCATCGAACGGCACAAGCTTCAATTGAACGACCATAAAGCTAACATAGCATCGACGACATCACCTGACCACAACCGTACCGGTACCGTGCCAGCCGTGGCAGTTGTGAATCTCTCGTTCACCAAAAGAGTCCACAGACTGAGTTCACCAACCAAAAAACGAATACACCTTTGAAACCTTTTACCACAACCAACAACAATGAACACACACGCACCCGAGATCGTCATATCTGTGGCTTCGCCTTCTTCGCCTCAACACAAGCAAGAGGAAGATGATCGCGCACGCTGGGAAATGGAGACATCACCTTGCTTCCCACGTCCCCTCTGTGTGGCTCTTCCTCCCAAACGACCAGCCCGCCAGGCCACAGCAGGTGCCAAAAGCGACGGCAGCAGCAGCAGCCAGCCTCTGGCCAAGCCTCCCCAACGAGAAAGCAGTGATGGGGTCTTGTCCCCACCCAAGTACCCTTTTCGCAGAGTTACTCGCTTTGGCAAGTTAACCGTTTCGCATCCTCCACAGCGCCCCACACGGCAAGACTCTGAAGCCCTCCTTCGATCATCCCACACTAGCTTTAGTAGCGAAAGTACCTTGCCTCCTCTGCCTGGAATGGACTCGTATCATCGCTTGTCATCTCTGGCCAGCACCATTACCGACAACACTACCTCCACTTCATGTACTGAGCAAGAAGAATATCCCGACGAGAGCTGCAGTATTCTGTCTCTTCGTCTTCAAGATACCCGTTTGGATGGCAGCAGCAGTAGATTCCAAGAAAGCAGCAGCAGTCGATTCCACGAAAGCAGCAGCGCTGAGTTGACCATGGAATGTTGTCCGTCTCGTCCAGTCCGTCAGAAATCTGCCTTTCCTGATGTGGATGCCGTGGTGGTGAGCAGCAGTGGCAGCGAAAATAGCTCGGCAGCGACCGGAACTCCCGTGGAGAAACCAGATTGGGTCAAACTATGGGAATCGCAAGGAGGTGGCGATTTTGCCACCGCGACCTTGTCCAGCCCAAGGAGCTTGTGAGAATATCAAGCGATACCGGTACCGGTATAAGAGACGGCTGTGCACATTTGCATTGTGGATGCTGGCTAGCCAGCAAGTAAGTCTTACAATAAATTTTGGTCAGCGAAGAGATTGACAAAGCAAGTATCGCTGCCCGAAGGAGATACTAGCTAGTAGCCAGGTGTTTGCCTGTACCGCAATTGATGTCTTGTAGTCTGACGACCAAACCTCAGCAGCCACCTCGCCACAGCTCAGTGATCGAAGAAATCTTACAAATTTTGTAAAGCTCGGGTGCTGCACTTGTCACCGCCGGTGCCGCTGGTGACAAGCTGTGGTGTTTGGTTTCTTCACACTCTCCCAAGTTTTGGCGACGGAGATGCTCGATAGGACGAAGCCGGGAAATGGAATACTAGCTAGTAGTTGTGCTCTGGCCAGACGGGGTCGACAAGTTTGTGGTTGCTTGTTCAGGTTGCCATGTTTGTATCTGTTTCAGATTGCCACCTGCGCAGTCAGCTGTTCAGGTTGCCTGTTGTGCGGGTGGATGCATCTCCTCGTCTATTTCTACAGGGAGCGACATAGGAGGCAACTTGGGTTCCTGCTTGGGTTCCTGGATGATGGAACACGGATAGCCTACGCCTCAAACAACCCAACCAAACCATGGCTTGGGCTTCAGAGAGCGAATGTGGTGGTGCATGACAGTAAAAGAAGAGGAGGGCAACCAACGGATGGAAAGCAATAACAGAATTGAGTACTACTAAGTACACAAACTACTAAGTACACAAACACATGGGATTGACAGGTCAATGAATTTGATAGGAAAAGAAGGCATGTATTTGTGTAGCAAGATTTGTGGCGTTGACCATTACATGCACCCGAACTTCAGCTCCCTCTCTTCTCTGCGCCTCCACTAGCTTGCTACCGGTACTCTGGAAGGCAGCCTGTTTGGTCTCCCAGACCACGCTCCTTTTGGTTTCCCCCTCAGTTGCACTCTGAAATCGATTGGCTCGCGTTTACTGTGTAAATTAGTGTACCCGCACTTCAGTTGCAGAATCAACGGTCATGTGTATCGTTAAGTAACAGGTTCTCTTTCGAAATTTTTAGATCGATTCGTGGATAAAGGAACCGTTGAAGTTACTAAGGTTAAGGATAAACTGATTGAGTACGGTAGTACTGTACAGGCTCACTCGGATCGATCGATCGATCCAAGCCACTCTTGTATCTCTTTCATTATTTCGATACCTCTATCTTTACTCTCTATTGACTCTATCAAGATGATGCTACTCCTCTATAGCAGCTACTCCTCTTATAGACGTCTCCACCATGACAGGCTCCTCTCGTTTGGCTAGGCTCGAAAGCGGCATGTTGGTTTCTAGTAACACTCTAGCTTAGTAAAGGTAAAATACTGTTTTACTGTTAAGCTATTTCCAAGAAGTGATCTTTCTCCATGTTTTCTGGGATTGATTCAACTTCAAAGGATATAGTGAGGGGGTGACCATATAGATCAGTTAAACTCCCCATGTATGTAACTAGAAATAGATATAGATATCCCCTATAAACTAGATTGGGATAAACGACTAATTTGTATTGAGGTGTCTGTAATACAACTCCAACACACTCCTGCACGTTTCCATAAAGGATACCGTGGAACGAATAATTAATTAATATTGGTTGCTCCATTGGGAACAGTTGTTGGTCGAGGGAGACCAATTGCTAGGTTGCTCGGCATTCCGCTTGGTGGCGAGAAGCTTGTCATCCATAGCAATGCTGACAAATACTGTCACAGTCAATGTGGACATGTGGACAGTGTCGTCATGAAAAGAACTGTGGCTACCACTCCTGTGAGTGTTGCCACTCCTGTTATGACTTGCTGTGGCAATTGATGCCGTCACTTGATGTTGCTGTATTCGAAAACTGGGAAGTTCCGATCACTTGTTAAACCGTGGACTGGGAAGTTCCGGTCACTTGTGTATTGCTGTAGCTGGAAACTAGGAAGTTCGGCTGCATTCTCGTAGACTCAAACTGTGCTCTTGACTGGCGGTGTAGACTGAACTGGACATCGATATGCCATGGTCTCAATCGCCATGATGTGTGGAAACATCAATCCATTCAGGCTTGATACTGGATTTGGAAATCAGGTGGCATAGTCTGTGCAATAGTTGGTAGCTATCTGGAGTCAGCTTTTTGTCCATTGGAATGGAACGTGAGTGTCTCTTCTTGTTGGATGTCCAAGAAGTGTTGGATGTCTCTGCTGTTGTCTTTTCCAGAGAATGGAATCCTCTTCTTCCCAGTGGGGAAGCTTTTTCCTTCATCACGGCCTCCTATTCTTTGGATCGAATGGCTGTGACTTGTTGTACATGAATGTGTGCTTGCTTGATGGGACCTTGGTTTGCACCTCTTGTAGATGGATGCTGGCAACTTGTGGCGTTCCGTCGAACTGTTGCTTGCTTTGAGCTGGTTCCATGGTGGAACTGTTCCTGTGGACTGTGGGAATCCTCTGCAGAAGATATCCCGGTAGCTGGTGTGTGGCTACCCTTGCTTGAGTAAGCTTGCTCTGCTTGATAGGCTTTGCCTCGATAGCTTTGCTTGGTCGCACTTACAATCTCATGATGGATCTTCTGAGTCGATCCGAGAGTCAAACTAATCGATCTCGTGTCGCTGCTTGTGATTCATCGCTTCGTGTCATTCGATCTGGCATGATCGTTTCTTGTCAGTCGATCTGGTGTGTCAATCTGGATAGATCGATCGAGAATTCAAAGGAAGGTTGAAAAAGGTTTGAGACTTTGGTTTTGGTGGGTACAACTTTATCAATACCACTCCTGTTGTCACTGTTGGCACACTCTGTGAGCTAGCTGTGGCAGGACTTGTACTTGTTGTAACCAAAGCTGGCTTGGTTGTTTGGACATTGGATGCAATTGGATTGCTGGGGAGCTTGAGGCGGTGCCTCTAGGATTCCTGAGAATCGATAGCACTCAGAGTGTCTATCAGTGCTTGGGTAAGCAGGCTCCTACCTTGAAAGGCTTTGTAATCCAAGTCTCAGTCGTCGTGTCGCTGGCTTGCAATGAGTCCAAAACAAACTTTGGAAGTGTTGCTCGCATCCCGCTTGTGCGTGAGGCTGAGCGGTGGAGACGAGACAATAGGACATTGTCATCATCGGAAAGCCTTTGTGGCTGGCACCCTCTGAGAGTGTGCCACTCCTGGAAGACTGGTGTCGGATGATACCGTCACTTGGTTACCTGCGGCTCAGACTGGGAAGTTCGGCTGATTGGACACTTGATGGGCTGGAAGCCCTTCGTGATTGAAGCTGTTGAAGCTTCTGGAAGTCGTAGACTTGTGGGAAGTATGGCCTATTGGAAGGTGCATGGAAGCTGGAATGATGTAGCTTGGAAGTCACGGACTTGTTGGGTTCGACTGAACCTATTTCTTGGATGGTCTCGATGTCTGAAGATGGATGAGGAAATGGTTGAG